GGTTTTGTGGGGGGGGGGCGGAGCGGAAGTTAGAGCATTTTCTAGCCATCATGGGAATTCAGCAGAGCAAACAGCAGTGTGTATTATCCCCTGAGCCCTAGCATGCCAGGGCTGCTGAGCATTGAACGGCTGTTGCGCGGGGAACGGTTGCTCAGCAAGCTGCTGGGAAGAAGGAGCAGAATGTGACTGTGGCATGACTTTGGCCAGGACAGACTGGTCTGGGGTGACCGAACACTGCTGGGATACTTTCTGAGTGGCAGTTTCTGGAATCCACTCAATATGGCGCTCAAATCAAAAGACACACTATGTTAGTCAATAATGCCTTGCATGGTCTTTAAAACTTTCAGTAATAATTGCTCAATTTACAAGTAACTAAACGGATTTATGTGTTAGGTATGATGTATGTTTTATTGTAGCTCTTGCAGGGTTATTTAGGGAAAACTGCTCTCTGCTAAGGCCAAAAATCAAGCATTTCAAGATGTGGCTGTTAGAGTGACAGGTCTAGACTGCAGCAGCTCAAAGGAAACCTAATGCATTTTATTATAGAACTCTATAATGTCACCTAGTGATTAGCATAACCCATAAAAAACTATTCCACTCTCAGAAAAATTAGCAAAAATTGTACCTTTAGGGGTAGGACAGCTTGTCCCTTGGGCAGTAGCCTTAAAGGGACATGTTTTACATTATTTTCCATTTAAAGATTCATAGTAGTAACTTAAGGGTATATATAACTACTCAAAGGTACAAATATGCACCTTTTAGGTGTGCATATTAAGGTACAAAGTTGTCTTTTTTAAAGGGGTCATGACATGAAAAATCTAATTTGCCTTGATCTTTTGGCATGTAAGAGGTCTTTGTACCATCCTGCAAGTTACATAACTTAAAACGTCCTACTCATAAACAAAGCATTTATTTAATTAAGCTCCAAAAATGGCTTGCTTTGATTCCGAGGGGCAAGGTGGCGTCACCTGGGCGCAGTCGTTTGCATAAACACTGCCTCCAGAGCAAGACATCGACGAATAGTCTTCTTCTCACCATAGGCCCCGCCCAGTGGCATTCAGTCGTTTAACGTCTTGACACTTGATCACACTGAATGCGAGTGTCGCATCGCGTCAAAAGCAAATATAAATTACAATCACTGCTGCTATCTTGTCTACACTGGATACAGTATACAGATGCACATTCGCTTTCTGACTCAGTCCACATGCTTGATTCTGTCGTCAGAAGGACATATGGAGTGAAAGAACACTCGCTTTGACGCGTTTGGTTTAAACAGCTCATTCGTGTCTTTGTACAGAGCATTTTGTTTTGTAAACGAGGCAGAGTGTCATGGAGAGTTCACAAAGAAACATTTGTTCGAAAGATGAAGCAGTACTATATCTGACTGCAGCTGCCTCACAAACTGTATGTAAATGATTTCATAATGCTTTGTCTGGAAATGACTGTTTCATTTTGATTATGTTGTCAAAACACACATGCAGTAGCGAGGGGGTGTTGATACGGTTTCCTATGCAGTGACGTTAGCCAATCATAACAGTGGCCAATTACTGAGAAGCCTTAAAGGACACGCCCCTTAAAAACTGTTTCTGAGAGAGGTTTAGAATGAGGGTTGAAAATAATTTTTCTTCATATTTATTGTTTTGTTCGTGCAAAAAAAATTTTATTAACATTAAGTAAACCTCAAGGAACATATTAAAATAACTGTAAAAAATCCATGTCATGACCCCTTTAAGGGTGCTGTCCCAGTGACAAGATGTATCTCTAAATGTGCTATTTTTGCACTTTTTTCTGACACTGAAAGTCTAAGAGGTCTTTTATATAGACTAAACCAGAAACCTCCATGTACTCAGACTGGGTTCAGCATAGACTCATTATACTCTCTACCTGATGACTGTGCAGTTAACACTAGTGAACTACGTATTCTACAATAAAAGATGACATTTTATTTATGTATACTGTAATTCAGTTTGGGAGAGAAAAAAAACATGTTTTGCCAATATTCAAATTTAACCACATTTCACTTTCCCAATGAGATTTTCACATGAGAAAACAGTTTGAGAGCTCGTGCATACAGTTAAAACGCTTCCCCCACACCCCCAATAACAACTGGATATAAATTATGAGAGTGGTTGTCGTGTTGCAGTTGCAGCCAAATATTTTTTCCCATGTTCCTTTAATGGTGTGCTGTAGTCTGATGTGCTGGTGCAGTGAATGTGGTTCAGCTCAGCCCATAATTGGAGGCTGGACTGAACTTTGGGTGTTCCAAAAGATTAATGTCCAATTTGCAAAAATCGTTTAGGCGAATGTTTTTTTTTTTTTTTGCCCTTTTCAAGCAATGACAAAAACTGGACAGCTCAGTGTTTGTGTCTGTGTGAATGCATGTGTCTGCATGAGTTGCACCATCCAGCCTTCAATTGCGCCTTCATTACCTCTTTAACTTGTTCTCACTGACATATTTGCAGCCTCCACCTGAACAACCACCAGCACAACTGTCATTTAAAATGATATATCGGCTATTGTGACCGAAGACATGTTAAAACAATATTTCCTACCATTGTAAATGGGTTTCGAGAGACAGTTTATCAGGGAACGATGTCTGCACTGCAGTCTAATTTATGAAGGGGTGTAAAACTCAAGACTGCCTCTTGCTATTATTGCAATCGTATTTCAGAGTCAGAAACTCTTGTACACCCAACAGCTTAGAGCTGTAATGATTTCCTCCACTCTCTCTCCCTTTCCCATTTTTGCATGCTATGCCCTCTCAGACTTATGTTCTGTCTGTAACTTTGCAGCTCGACGTTCTTAATGGTGTAGAACTCAGTCCCCCAAGCTTTAGCAGAGGAAATTAAGCATTGAGAATAAAGTATTTTACACTGGAAAATACATTAGAGATGGTCTCTGCACCCTCCAGCCTCTCCAAATTCTGCCTTTACACTTTTTACACAATTTATTTAAACTCAAAAAACAACTTTTAATATTCCATTTGAATATTTCATAAAATATGAAAGCATTTTAAATTGGTTCTGAAACAAAAGCCTTTTATGATTTTACAAGTGTGTTACACCTCAAAAAAACAGACGTATAAAAGTTCAGCCCATTTGGGAACTACTATGGCTGGGGTTGCTGATCTCTGAAAGACACCATTCAGCATGTTGTGTGTATGAGCGTCCTGTAGCCTGTGGTGGTTAAACACACACTCCGTTTGATTTGACATGTACGCTCAGTATCTCACAGCTTTCATTCGGATGTGCCTCGTTGAAAACTCTTTTCTTCCAGTTTCTCTTTCCCTCCAGCACACCGCCACAGCTTTGCAGATTGTTTGTTGAAACCATAAATCCTTGCAGACAGCTTTAGCCTGATTTTTCGGTTAAAGAACTCCTTTCATAGGCAAAAATACCTTTGCGAGACAAATTACAAAATACGAACGGTAATTATCAGCCATTTTCATCTGAGAGGATTCCAGCTGGTGTGAGTTGCCAGATCCTGGTATGTTTTGTGTTGCTTAGACTGTATTTTTTTGTGGACTGCAAACCTGCGCTTGTCATGTGTGAAAGTCCTGTGATGTTGCTTCTGTTTTCCCTTTTGTCCTATTTATGTGTTTAAAACAAACCAGTATGCGTGCAAATGTGCGAAATATGAAGGAGAGATGTAAAAAGAGCATGATTTAGCCTCGACCTGTAGAAATATTCCATACGTTTCCTTTTAGTCATGGTCTGTGTGTAGCAGGTTGAAGCTGCTGTGGATATGGCAAGCAGATGACATCCTTATACACACTCAGCCTATTCAGTCTTTTCTCTTTCCCTCTCTCTAGCTGAGCTTTCTGATCTGGCTACTGTAGCATGTGTCTGAAGTTTGGAGTGTTTTATGTCTTGAAACAGCATGACTAGACCCTCTGTTTCGTCTGAGGTGAGGAATGCAGGGTATCTCAGGTGTAAGAGTAGAAAAAGGTTTAAGAGATGTGTTTAGATAACGTGAAAAGCCTTAAAATACTTTTCTTTGCATGTTTATTGAGGAATAAGAATAAAGAAAACAGGAGGGAGAGCCTGGAAAAGAAGAAAACCGAGTAAGTGAATAGTGTATATGGAAACTAGTAAAAGAAAGGAAGAGACATATCTCTTATGTTGCTTATTTACATGAGTAAATTTTCTCATAAAAAGCATCAATATAGATTTCCCAATTCAATTCAATTTTGAGTCGCAAATTCTTGATTCAGTTCCATTCCAATTTTGATTCTATTCTAGCCATATTTAAGTTCTAACGTCCATTTTGCTTACATTTTAAGAAATTTTGTTGCTGCTAATATATAAATTATACAGTTATGTTGTTACTGTTAACTAAAACTAAAAGCTTGTAAAAGCTGTTTTTGGTAATAAAAATGAAGCTGAAATAAAATAAAATATAAATATAAAATGGAAAAACTTGGCAACTAACTGAAATAAGTACTAAAATGACTAAAGCTAAAACTTAAAATAGAAAAAAAAAGCTATATATTAAACAAAAGCTAACAATAAATAAAAACACTCAATAGAATTACTATTGTTCTAATAAACTACTGTTAAAATAAAAACATTAATAAAAGCTAATTCAAAACATTATTAAATACTATAATAGTATATAAATGGTACTAACATAACACTTTTTCAGACTGATTTAAACAACTTTTTGAACTATTAAAAGAAACTGCTCATTAGAGTAGGTTCGACGATCAGACTAAACTGGTCACACTTTTTTATTCACTAAAAAGAACCAGTTCATATGAGTCATTGGCATGAATCGGATTACACTGATCGTGCTGTGTGCTTTTGTGTGCAGCTCAGTTGGAAGTCGTGGCCTAATGGTTAGAGAGTCGGACTCGTAACCCAAAGGTTGCAGGTTCAAGTCTCGTACCAGCAGGGCTTGGTAGGTGGGGGGAGTGAATGTACAGCGCTCTCTTCCACCTTCAATACCACGACTGAGGGGCCCTTGAGCAAGGCATCGAACCCCCAACTGCTCCCCAGGTGCCGCAGCAAAAAATGGCTGCCCACTGCTCCGGGTGTGTTCACGGTGTGTGTGTGTTCACTGCTGTGTGTGTGCACGGTGGATGGGATAAATGCAGAGCACTAATTCCGAGTATGGGTCACCATACTTGGCCACATGTCACGTCACCTTCACTTTCACAAGAACAATATGCCATTTAGGGCATATTTTAGAACTGGGTTCTAGTTGATCAATGAATAAAACTGGAAAATGAGTAATATAAGTAAAAAGGGTAAAGACAAAATTGAGGGTAGAGGACGAGAACAAGTAGAGGAGGGTGGACGGGGGGCTTTTACTGAGATTTAAACCCTCTCCTCAGGAAACGGCAGCTTACCGCTGCTGCACTTAACACCACAACACCTACATGCGTGACATGGCATGTGTGTGCAAGCGTGCGTACATGTGTGAGAACTTACGTACATGTGCTTGTGCTGAAAGAGAAGCCTGGGAAAACATGCTTTCACTCTACCTTCCTGGAGGTCAGGATCCTCCCGCTCTTGTGGCATATAAGACAGAAGAAAGTCTTAGAGGCTCTTGATTCATTTTTCAAACATGAGGCAAGTTATCATGTTACTGAGGTTTGGGAGTATTTAACAAGTGGACTATTATAGTCTGTTCAGGAACCAGCTGGGAGAGCTGAGAGGGGCAGGGGTAGACAGAGAGCAGTGCTTATCTGAGGCTCCGCTCCAGGCCCTAGGAGCCCCTGTTTGGCCACGGCTGAATAACACTCTATGAGCTCTTGCAAACGATGGCTGACCCTGTCGCAGGTATCCTCTGACTGCTCACAAAAGCAGCTTGTCTGAACGTGCTGGCATGTTGCTGCAGCCTCATGTTTGCATCCGTTCGCCTCTTCGAGGTGTTTTGGGATCTATTTTAAAAACAGCAAATCTGGAAATCCAGCTGAACATGATAACTGATACATTCATGTGCTGGAGAGAGACTGCTGAGATTATGTGAAGAACCTGGAAGCGATTTTAACAAAATAAAGACGAGGAGAGATGCTATCGAAGCTGTTGTTGTTGTTTTTTTGTGCAAGTCAGTTCAGTTCAGGAATCCGGTGGAGCTCACAGATAGAATATTAGTCTTTCCATCTGTTTATTCTTCACTATTTAACTTTTAGGAAGGAATTTTGGGAATGTCTTGCCTCTCTGTGCCTTGGCTTAGTGTTGTCTATATAAACTTGGTGCATGTGTGTATAACATGAACAGAGTTCAAACTTAGCCTTATTGCACATCTCAGCCATGAATAGATCTGAAATCCACAAGCACTGACACAGTTTTAGAAAGGATTTTAAGGATGTACATTATATTGGTACAATATATTACCAGTCAATATTGGAGATATTTTTTTTAAATTTCAGTCAGTATTGGGTATTGTCATCTAATGCTCACCCCCCAAAAAATTCTATCCTCATTTATTCACCCTCATGTCATTCCAAACCCATAAGACTTTGCTCATCTTCAGAAATCAAAGGAATATATTCTCTCATCATTTTTGTCCAACTGTGTCTATTTGGTCTGTGCAACCAAAATGTTCACGCTTCCAAAAGTACAAAAAAGACATTTTGGATTAGAATTAATCCAAATGAATCAAGCCGTTTAGTCCAATACTTCTGAAGAAACATTATCACTTTGTATGATTAACAAATTTAATTTAGTATTTTATTCACATAAACATGTAGAGTATATCAAATATGGTAAACACTGGTACAATAAAACAAATATGGAACAATAAAACAAATATGATTATTTCGTGCTTGTTTGATTTATAGCATTTCATTCACTTGTAGCATTTAAATCAATTGCGTTATCGGCTTTAACATGAAAATATTCTTTGACTTACAGCATTGGTATCGGCCAGAATTTTGAAATTCTGAAATGCAGAATAAATGATTTATTTGAATATGTGTGTGTGACAACATGCTCATATCCTGCCATTAAGCAGATACAAAAAGGAATCTGGTTTGATCATGGCCTGCTAAAGTAAAACTTCTGGCCTAAATGTGCTGGCATAAACTGGATGAAGCTCAATGAATGACCTCCTATTGGTACTGCAGTGAGAGACACATACCAAACAGATTTAGACTGCCTGTTGTGCCAGTGTGTTTGCCCGCAGTTTGTGTTTATTTAGATTTAGGAACACAACTCACCACTAATCTTTCTGTCTGTCTGTCTCTCTCCCTCCCTCGACAGAAAGACAGCTGTATTATAACTTACCCACAGTGTGGCATTGGCACAAACTCTACCCCTTAGGTTCACTTTGTGTGACTGTATAATAAGCAACTCTCATTGTACAATAAAAGAAAAAGCTTTTAATATAGAGTCTGCATGTTCCAGAAAGTGGTCTTTTTTAGAGTCCAGTGTTGAGAGAACGGATCAAAAGAAGCGGGTTACACAAGGCTGAAGTGGAGGGATCTGATATGACCTTTGATCTGATGGAGGGTGCAGCCAAACTGAGGTTTAGTACATAGCCAGATGTTCAGGGCTCTACAAGAGGAGAATTTCAAAACAACTACTCAACCTATTCATTGCAGTAACAAACACAATTCCTCTAATACACTCACTCACATAAATTCTGTGCCATATTCGCACTTTCTACCTCTTATCTCGCTCTCTCAACCCAACTAAACACACTGATATGTGAGTTAATGAGCCGGCGCAGTGCTGCTGCCATCCAGTAGGCAAAGAGCCTTGGCAGCCGCAGGAGCTGTAAACTCCTCTGGCAAAAATCTGCAGTGTGCAAGCAGTTGCATTTATAGCTTAATAACAGATTAGATGTCTCCTTCAAGACCCAGGAAAGAACTGCTGTAAGAGGCCTTCGTGAATGACTGTTATTGTAGCTATGCGGTTTTCGTTCTCTCTAATGAAAGGAGAATGTTGGCCAGCGTTATCATTTCATGTTGTTTCTGACATGTTCCTCTCTTCTTCGCAGCTCCTGCTCATCATGATCGGATCCACGGATGAGATTCTGCAGGAGGCAGCAGCCAGCTGTGTGGCCAACATTCGACGCCTGGCGCTGGCCAATGACAAGGCTAAATATGGGTAAAAGTGACTGCATCTCCCCTTCAATCTCACCCGCAGTGGGCAACAAATGAGTTACTTTACCCACTCAGTGAGTATTAATGGATCAGCTGTGATGCCCGATGTGTGTTTATTTATATTTTACTTCAGCTCTGTAATAATAGGAAGCATTTAGCCAAAGCTAAACATGTCATTAATTAATTTGTTGGAGTCTACAACCCTGGCTCACCCTTGTCTCAGCTTTTTCCCTCAATTTCCTCATCGCAGCATCTAATTTAACAATAACAATAAACGCTTTCTTCTCCTATGTGTACACGCCAAATGTTCCACAGTTTACGTTCTCTGAAGTGGTTTCAAGCATGAATACAACACATTCATGAATGCAGCAGGTACTGTTGTCCACACGTCTGAGTAACAGGCACATCTGGTGATGTGACTTTTGTTTAAAAAGTTCATGCAACCCTGTAATTGAAGACCGCTTGCTGATTAAAGCAGAAGCACTCACCATATTTTCTTCTTCTCTCTTTCTCAGATGCTTACAGACACAATAGTTATTCAGGCCTTATGATGACCACATACACAAACATGTAGGGAAAATAAAACCAACAAAACACACTCACACACATGGTTTCAACCAGACAAAGACAGTCCCATTAATGTGAAAAATTGCTCATAAATTCAATCAACAGTGACGTGAATGGGCAGAATGCTTGGAGAACTTGGAACAATGCAGTAGCAGGTCCCTTCTGCACTATGAGTAAATATGATTTTGTGCATTATTGACGTGCAGCAGCTCCCTGATGAGATGGAGTATTTTGTGTTATTATTTGTTATTGAAAAAATATGGTGATGGCTCCTCTCAATGTCCTCATTAATTCTGCCTGTTAAAAGTAGGAGTATGAGGCAAATGAGACCACCTCAACAGTACAGCAGCAGCGTGCCTTTTGCTCAGACAGCCCCATAAAATGTAATCCTTAAAAATAATCATGTTTTATATTATCGGCATCAATCCAATGTCCAGTACTTTCACTACTAGATATAATGAACGCAAAACAACAAAACAAGCAAAGATACAATTACGCAAACTTGTGGAACAAACAGTGGAAATTATATGTCATATAATGACTCAAATGTCAATGCTGCACTGTAAAAAGTGAAAATATGCAGTTATTAACTTAAAGGGGTCCTATTATGCTTTTTCACTTTTTGAATTTTAGTCAGTGTGTAGTGTGTATGTTTGGGCATAAAAAAAGATCTTCAAACTTACAAATCTCAAAGTCCACTCCAAAGGGAGATATTTCGTTTTTAAAAAATCCGTTTTCAAGAACTACAACGAACGGCTCGTTTGGACTACAGCATTTGTTTTCCGGGTTTTGTGATATCACAAAGAGGCCCATTAGAATATCATTAAAATAATTCCCGCCTACTGAAATTCGAATGGTTGTGGGGTGGGGAGGGGCAAGGTCGTGGTTAGAACGCTTGGTTGAGTGCACGAGCGGCATCCTTCCGGTCTCTCTTGTGAAGCCAACACGGAAGTGACTAAAACTGCAATTCATCGACTGCCTGCAAGAGGCTGGCTCCAAAAGGGAGTCAGTCCCATAGACTCCCCATGTTAAAATGCCCAACTTTACGGCAGAAAAAAATGTGTTTACAGCCTGGTACAAAAAGTGGTTTTGGTCTATATAGCTAATTTTGCCCTTCATGACAACTGTGAGGGGGGTGGATTTTTTTATAACTCATCCGTTTAAATTATATTAAGCCTTAAAGTTCTGCATAATTAAGGGCGTGGCCACTTGAGTGACAGGTGGATCGCCGCTGCTGTCACCGCCGTCGAGCTAGGTGGGTGTGGTTTCAGCAACCAAGTCTTGCCTCTTTGCCCATTTTCGATTATCCGGAAGTGACGCGCTGCCAAGATGGCGACGGCTCGCTCTGCCCACTTTGAGCTTCAAAAACACTCTTCGGAATCTACGGGTGACGTCACGGACACTACGTCCATGTTTTTATACAGTCTATGTGCGTGCATCAGACAAGACAACGAAGAAGAAGTGCTGCTGTAGCCTCAAATTTTCACAAGTTATTACACATGCACCTGAATAATTATGTAAATATGTATGTTACAATTATGAAAACGTTTCTATAATAAATAGCTGACAGTACAATACTGGACAATGATGTAATCTGCAGAATTTACACTTCAATTATGAGACTAGTGTTTCCCATACATTGAGTGCGGGTGTTTTTATATCACTGTATCACATGTCATTTTCATTTAATCTTGCATGTGATATCTGATAAAGAAGTTTTTTTAAGTGGAGCGCTGCTTTGTGTACAGCCGTTACCAGGGAAACCTTGATCTCTACCACTCCAACAGCGCCAGCTCCAAACACTGGACTATGGTATAAATAAATTCAACTGTATAACAGTTTCACTGCAATTCATGTTATAATGTTAGAATTAAATAACAATAAAAATAATACATATGCACTTATCTGTACATAGTAAATGCAGTTATTTTTAAGCGGTTGTTGACATCCTATCTAAAACGTGATTTAGCCAAAAAAAAACAATAACGTTACCACTCTAATATGTCTTGCAATATCCGTGCGTGCAGAGGTTCTGCGCGATCCTCTTGTTCAATATTCTCTGGGTCTGAATCCGGCTCAAATTGATATGGCAATATTGACGCCATCCAGGTGTCATATGATGCGATTTCAATGTTTCCTTTCTCTTTGAAGTGTTACAAGCTCTTGGTGCATAAAGAAGATCTGTAAAGTTGCAAAGACTAAAGTCTCAAATCCAAAGAGA